CAGAGAGAAAGCGAATAAATGACAAGATTTATATAGGTATCTATAAATCCAGTATGATTGATATGAAGTGGTTGACTAAATACTGGTAAATATTTCTGTCATCATAACTGAGCACATATACCTGACTTCACCAGAATACAAGATGAAGACCGTAGTAGAATTTAACGCTGAACAAAACAAGTTGAAATTAAGGGGTAATAATAATTAGATGCTGAGAGTTAATGATACCGTATATAATTTGCAATTACAAATCCATTTTGAAAAGTCTGAAATCTTAAATGGGTTTCATTTAGTTTTTATCTCAGTATTAAGAATGGCTGCATCTTAATATTTCTTTTTTTTAGTTAAACATTAAAAACTTATTCCAGGTAACATAAAATATACTTAAGATAAAAATATATGTAAAATTAAAATTTTTAAAACAAAATATAATTTGCATAAAAATTCGAATATCTAAAAATAATTTCATATTGTGAACCCCTTCCTACTATCCGGCAAAAAAACATATGGACATTTGTTTAAAAATTAATATTGATTAGAAATTAGAATATATTTTTAACTTTATATATATATATATATATATATATATATATATATATATATATGATCTGTTTTGTCGCTTCACACCCCGTATATCAATCTCTCTCTTTCTTTCTCTCTCTCACTACCTATATATTAAACCATTATTCGTCTGAATAAGTTTCTGCTTGGGACGAAACGCATAACGTTGGAATTTGTTTTTTTTTGGGGGGGTAAGTTTTTCCATTCAGTTACCCACTGTTAGTCTAACATTTCGATTTTTATATTTTACACACACACACACACACACATATATATATATATATATATATATATGATAGAAGATTTTGAATTTTTTTTCGGTGGTAGACGGGATTTTTTTAATATCTGCTGAACCTACCTATTTTCTTATTTTTCTATCTGTGAAAATTTGCTCATAATTTGTCAGCAAATATAAGGACACATTCGTAGTAAATTATCAAATGACATTTATTTCATATGAATTAGATTTAATGACAGTTCCCGCGTTAACTCTAATACAGTATTAAAGAGAAAAGAAATGTAAGTTGCATTTTGCATGAGATGCTGAAGGACGATAATACCAATTTTTCCGGCATGAAACAGACTTCTCAATATGTATCTCGCAGCTACACTGAATTACGTCAGATTCGGTATAATGTCTTGGTCTTGACGAATTTAATCGATTGCTAACCTTTTCTTTATCTTCTGTGTTCTTTAGTCAGGGGCCAGATAAATACCACTGTAACTCGCCAGGCTGAAAAGAGTATGTTCGTGTAAACGAGTTTTTATCTTTTCGATTTTTACCGCGTTTCTCCACTTCATTCAAGAACTAGACAATTTCAGTCAATAACAATAGCTCGCTGCTAGTTAGTAATTTAAAACAAAATAATAAAACCAGTACGAACCGACAGAAACCTTTCTCAAAATTATGGTATTCGATGACACAATCATAAAACCCGTCTTTCCGTAATTATCAATAAAATACTGTATAAAATAGTTTAGCAAATAATTTCCTATGAAGACATTTTTTTTATTTCGGCGCTTTGTCCTTCAGTCGATCTTGCATATAGAAAAGTTCTCAAAGGAACTTTTATAAAAGAATATTTTAAGAATAAAAATAAGGATATTCATATAAAAAAAATGTTTCTGTTACTTTTCAATTGATTCGCTTTTTGTCCTCCTCAGTTTTATTACCATCTATACCAAATTGATAATACATGGTAATATTGAGTTTTATCTGAAATCACTGCACGTATAGTGTATATAAGACGTATATGCGTAACTTTTTTAAGTTTGTAACGGGAAATCTAGAAGTGAATATTACTTTTTTTGACATTATCGGCGACATAAAGACATTCTTTCTTTAATTGACAAAGGCAAAATAATTGTATGTTGTCTCTCCATCGATAAAGGAGATAATCGTAATTGACATTTCTCTTATAAAACACACCATATTGAGTTAGATATAAAATGAAATTATTTAAGTAACATCAATTAGAACTTTGTTAAAATTATATCGTATTTTTATTTCATGTAATTTTCAGATTAATTTTTGTTTGAGTTTTGCAACACAACATTTTGACCAATGCGTTTTCGGCTTTTCAGGTGTATATTAAAATCTCGGTAATCGACTCCTTTTTTTTTTTGGTCGACTTTACCCCACTGTAATTTATAGATCGGACCGTCATATATCCGTGCTGTAATATATATATCATACGAGATTTAAAAAAAAAAATTAGGCTAAACATTTAATTGTAAAAAAAAAAAATATCCAGGAATGGAAATATTGTTATAATAGAAGTCATTAATTATTTAACTAAAACAACTTGACAAGAATTCGATTATCATTATTGGCTTTAAAAGTAGTTTTTCTAATTGTTTCTTTTCTTTATTTATCATTATAAATTCTACATTCATTCCGTTTCGCTACAGCATTCAGGAAAATAAGCCAAGAAATTTGTCTTGAACGATTTTCAAAATCTCTTAGTCAATGATACAATTAATTAATAAAAATTCCTACAAAATTTTCACAAGAGAAAATTTCCAGATCGTATCGCTTGTTATGACACAGACATAATTTGACTGATTTCCAATGCAATATATATATATATATATATATATATATATATATATATATATATATATATATATATATAGGCAACATATTTTCAGTAAAACATGCATGTTTCATTGAATAATATAGACATATTATGTCTATTTATTTTTATAATAACCCTTTCTAGTTTTTCTTGATGTTAAGTTAAAATTCATCAATTAAAGGTGTCGTAGTTTTGTTAACCCTGGTACGTTCGATTTCCTCGAGACCATCCTCAGATGTCAATTGCGAAGACAAACTTATTCTAACTGTGATCGTTGTGGTGGTGATTTTTGTAACGTTCAAAAAAATTCATGAAAAGTTGAAATTAGGTGCTGCGTGATAATAACCAAATGAAAAGAAAATTATAAAATCGATGAACTAAGCGGATTTCTTTTTAGTTGAAATTAATTTAATTTCGCTTATTAACCCTTATTATTATATACATTTTTGTCTAGTCACCCTATTTCGCAATTGTACAGAAATTTGAAATTCCTTCAGTGTTTCCGGGAATGTTTACAAGAGCAAATGGAATTCAAGACATTTCATTAACAGCAGATCTTGTAGCTAAAATTATTAAATCACTAGAAAACCTTGTTAATATTTCCAGTAATCGACTTTTTAATTTTAATACGAAACGCTTATAAATCAAAATATTGATTTATGATGAAGTGACTTGATAGATTTAGAAAAGAAATTTTAGTGTAGCAATACTTTTTATTTTCTTAATTTCGTAGTTATCTCCATATCAAATTTTCAAAGGCGCATGCGCGTACGGATTTCTAGGTATACACAGACAAAGACTGATACACCGATAGACACCAGTGACTTTCCGAAAGTAATGCATCCTATTTGTTTCCAAAGAAACTACAACAAATACTGGGAGCACAATAGCACTATGGGATAGCACAAGTTTTTTTTCCTTCTACAAAACACTTTTTCCCATATAGTCGTCACTATAAGCTATAGCGATGAAATAAATTCACCCACATCGCTATCGATTCTACAGACCGCATTACCCATCGCTTATGCTTACATTCCTTATTTGGTCTACGTTAATGTTTAGTCAGCATCGTTAAATATAAATGGGTGCCATTTTCTTCCGTATGACACACTTTACTTTCGAGTCACTGATGTCAGACAGCATTTTGTAAACCTCCATCGGTAACAATGCAAAATGATGTTATGATGTTATTAAGGGTCAGTATAATAAAATATAACACATCACTATCGGAGATAGATATTTAATCCAAAGAAGTGCTAAAAAGAATCTTTCTCCGAACACAGAACCCTCCCGAGAAAATTTGTGATATTTAGGCATTAGCTTTACAGATTATTATAGAAATTATTTATATTATAACGTATAAACTTACAAATATAGATCCGGGTCTACTGACATATTTAGAAAGGTTTATATCTAGGTTAATAAGCGAGGCAATTTTGAGAAGACTTGCTCATTATTTTTTTTATTTTATTTTTTGTTTTGTTTTGGTCATTTAGTTAGATTTAGCGTAAGAGATGAACATATACATGTTACATTAAACACCTGTTTTGGAAATAGAAGAGTAATTATTTAAAATGAATGACCTCTCGCATTTTATATTGAAATTTTCACACTTCAAGTCATTTCCTCAATTAAAACATCGACAAATAAACACGCAACCATTGAAAGCAGTTTTAAGTAGTAAAAGTAGATTATTAACGGTATATCTATATTGAAGTTTAGTCAATCGACCAGAAAACCTTTAAGTAAACATCTTCCATCTTGGATAATTGTCGATATAACCTTCGCCTTGCTCTCCTTGCTTGTATTGAATTACTGAAAATAACTTAAACGATTTTTCCTTCGAACTGTCTGTAATAACGATGCGAAAGACAGTTAAATTTAGATCAAGGTAAATGGCAATTTACAAAGAGAAAACAAAAATGGAAATATTTTCATATTATCGTGATTATTGAGAATATTTCGAATACAAAACTAAGTGTTGAAGACTTGAGAAGGCTTGTTGTCACTCAGTCTCCAATGGTGAACACTTGACAGCTGGTCATGCAAATGCATGGAATACTACTACTACTACTACGACTACTATTACTTTTTCTTTTTCTTCTTCTTCTTCTTCTTTTTCTTCTTCTTGTTATTATTATTATTATTATTATTATTATTTCATTGAAAGTTCCCACACTGGAGATTAAATGACAGTAAGTTCACTCACTACTGCAACAGTCTTCTCAGTATTCTGTTCAGTTTTCAGTAACATTGTCATCTATCTGGTTACAATTGTTTCTTTAATATCTGTCTTTTCTAGTACTTTTCCTAGCCTGTTTCTAGTGCTCCGATAACAACTGGTACTGCCTTTACCTTCAA